TTAATGTAGTCCAATGAGGACAGACCTTCTCCCATTAGGTCTAGCAATCCCAGTGAGGTAATAAACTAGAGTAAAAAAGCACCACAAATCAATATCTCTCTATAATAAACGCATTACTCATAGAGAGACTAATATAAAAAAATATATGTATAGAAGTGGAAAACCACATACTTTAATAATGGATAAAAAATAAAACGAGCATATCCATATAGTGATATATAGCTTGCCCTATAAAATATCATACAAAAATGTATGGACTAAAATATGTAAATGATAAAATATATAAAAAAATATATATAAAAAAATATATTAATTAATTACTACATTAATCAATTGAAGAAAAACGCTCCTTTGTAATCCTGCATGAACTCTTTACATCAAGTACTATAGCACACATTATATCAACATAGAAAATATTATCGGTCACTGATAAAGCAGTTCAAGTCGAACTCAATATTAAGTCCCATCGGGGCAAATGTATCCATGAGAAATATATATTTCGATTCTATCTGACTTAAAGATCTCACTTTGTGGGACCCTCTCCAATGTTTCTTGTATTTTTCAACTCCCCAAAATTTAAGACCAGAAGGGTCTTGATTATGGTATAGCCGAAAATGGTTGGATAAACAATGTTTCGGGAAACCCTTTTTTATATTCTGGACATGTTCCCTCAGCCGGACCCATAAAGGTCTTTTTGTCCTTCCCACATATTGCAAGCCACATCCGCATTGGAGAACATATACGACCCCCTCCGTTCTACACGATATAAAGTCCTTAACTAGAAAAGACCTACCATTACTAGTAGCTGAAAAGGAACTCAATCTAGTGTTCGAGCCCCTAGTGGCTCTACAGGCATAACAGATCTTACACGGGAAAAAAACCCTTTTTGATCAAGAAACGTAGCCTTAGAACTTTTAGTAGGGCGGTCCAATACACTACGAACCAATTTGGACCTAAGGGAAGGAGCCTTCCTATAAATAAATTTGGGTGTAGCCGGTAACAATTTTGAAAAAATGGGGTCAGTTATTAGAATCGGCCAATAACGTCTAAATACACTTTCTATCTGTTTGTAATTGCTGGTAAAGTCCAGAATAATGGCCGTATGGTCCCCCAAGTCTTCTGTCTTGGGTTTATCTACAAGGAAATTACTCCTCATCATAGTTCCCACTTCTGCGATCTTATTTTTAATCATTTCTCTAGAATAACCTTTGCTACAAAATCTCTCTTCCATAATGTTAGCTTGCTCATAATATTCCTTGATATCTGTGCAATTCCTTCTAAGTCTGACCAGCTGTCCTTTCGGGATATTCATCAGCCAAGGAGGAAAATGGCAACTATCTAGTGGAATGTAACCATTCCGATCTACTTTTTTGAAAAAAGTTTTAGTAGAAAGATTATTATCCCTCACCGAAATGCACAAATCCAAGTAATTAATGGAAGTGCCACTTATTTCCCACGAGAGCTTGATGCATTTATCATTACTATTTAACTGATTTAGAAAGGACAATAAATCAGATTCCAGTCCATCCCAAATAATGATAACATCGTCAATAAACCTTTTGTAAAGGAGTAGTTGTTTAGGGGGATTCTGATACACTGCCTCTTCCTCCCAGTGGGCCATGAACAAGTTGGCCACACTGGGAGCAAACCTGGCTCCCATAGCTACTCCCTTCATTTGGTTATAAAACTGTTTTTTGTACCAGAAGTAGTTATGGGAGAGACAGTACTCCAGACTTTCCAGAATAAATTTCCTCTGTGGCCATTGAAGGTCACTAAATAATCTGATACCCCAGCCTACCGAGTCCACAGCATCCTTATGATCAATGATGGTATATAAAGCAGACACATCTGCACTCGCAAGCAGGATACCATCCTTTATGTGGATACCATCTAACAGTTGTATAAGGTGTTTAGTGTCTCTCAGGTAGGCCTTAGTTTTGATGACCAAGGGTTGGAGGAAAAAATCAATATATTGACCCATCCTAGACATAACTGATTGTATCCCATTGACAATGGGTCGCCCTGGTGGATTCAAGGGGTCTTTATGCACCTTCGGTAGGGTATAGATAACTGGTAATCTACATACATCTGGAACCAGATATAAAGCTTCTTTTTTATTAAGTACCTTATTATCCTTTCCTTTCTTGACTAATGCAACAAGATCCTTTTTAAATTGACTAGTCGGATCTTTTGATAAGGGGAGATATGTATTGGTGTCCCCTAATTGTGACTCCAATTCTTTCTCGTAATACTCCTTTGAAAGTATCACTATACTCCCCCCTTTATCAGCAGGTCTGATAACTATATTGTCCCTTTTGGACAGCCTCTTCTGTCCAATATATAATGCTTTATTTTGCCTCATTTTCCCAGGATTAAGTTTCTTCATGTCACTAATGACCATTTTTTTTAAAAACCTCTAACTGATTGTTGTTAGTTACTTGAGGATTGAATAAAGATTTATTCCTTAATCCCGTATGGGCAAAAACATCACTACTCGCATTAGATAACACATTCTTGGCTCCTGGCAGGCTATGGAAGTATTTCTTAATATTAAGTTTTCTCACATATTTGAGAGTATCTATATACATATTAAATCCATTTGCAACTATGGGGGGAGCATATTTAAGGCCTTTGTCTAACACCAACAGTTCTTCAGTGGTAAGTGTGACTGGGCTGAGATTGAACACTCCTTCCCCTACAACTCTCTTTTTCTTTTTGGCCTTCCAACCCCCTCTGCATCCCCTCCTCTGTCGAAACTTCTCCGGACTGGGCTGAGAATGGTTCTGCCCCTCTCTAAAAAACCTTCATTCTGTTGAAACTCAGTATGTTGTGTTCTCAAGGGTTCGTATCTATTGTGGGTGGATACAGGGCTGCTAGTATAAGGATGGTGATAATTCCTCTGACCATAGTATGGACCAGGGCTTCTGCCATGTGAAGGTCCAGGGCTTCTCCCTTGTGAAGGTCCATAATATGGTCAAGGTGGAGCTTCGTATGGATATTGATTAAATCTCTGGGATGTATTATCACGTCTAGCATAATCCTGATAGGGTTGCTGATAATTGTTTCTCTGTGTGTAATTAGTATTTTTCCATTGTTTCCCCCTTTTATAAGGCTTTTTCTTAGGCTGTCCCCCATTACGTGGTTGCCAACCTTTTTTGGGGGAATGGTTCATAGGACGATAATTATAAGGAGGTTTCGGACCATTATCCGGAGATTTAAACGGTCCAGGATTTGTAGTAAATCTGATTTCCTTCACTGGTGTAGTCCTAATAGATGCTGCTTCAGTCTCAGCTATGGTATTTTGCCACTTAAAGACCTGATCTATATGGAAGTCATTCAGATCTCTATGATACTTCTTGATTTTCCTACATTTTACCTCCTGATCAACTTTTTCCAAGTCTTTATATAATCTATTGGTAAGATTGGTAACTTCTGGGTTATCTTTGAGGGGGTCTAGTTTACACTTAATGTCAGAGATCAAAGTTTCCAGATGTTTCATTTTCTTTTGTTTCCTCTTAAGGAGGAATTTAACCAGTTCCAACCCTCTTTCTTGGAAAAAATTGAACCACTCATCTTTATCTTCTGTATCTAGTAACCCATCACTGATGGGAACATCCCATCTAAGACGCCTAGGGACTATTTTGTCCTTGAGATACCTCTCATGCGTAATCATATCCCACCAAGTGGTAACTTTTTTCTCCATAAGGTGACCCAGTCTCCTAAACTGAGTATCTAGGTCACTATTAGGATCAATAGGAGGTTTGGAAAGAACCTCATCAATATTGATGGGTCTACTATCAATGAAACCAAATACATCCATAATCTGCAGCAGAAAGTGAACTGGTAAGAATAGTAGACTAAATCACATAAAGCACCACAAATCAATATCTCTCTATAATAAACGCATTACTCATAGAGAGACTAATATAAAAAAATATGTTATGTACTCTATTTAGGTATTAGTTTTTTGTTTTTTTAGCGCTGCATCAACTTTTATATTTTATTCATATTGCCTTTGTTTGGTATGGGACAGATGCTGGCTGCTTCCTAGCTTAATTCACTGCTCACCATAAGAGCGCAGGAGGATATTTATGTGATATAGCACCAGAACTACTATGTAACTCTAAACTGGTAACTTTTAAAGTCTTTTAAAGTGTCGCCTATGGAGATTTTTAAGTACCATAGTTTGTTGCCATTCCATGAGTGCGCACAATTCTAAAATGTGATGTGTCGGGTATCTATTTACTTGGTGTAATATAATCTTTTGATACTTTACAAAACAATTAAGTATTATTTGTGCATTAAAATTCATTAACGTATATTTTTTCCCAAAAAATTGCATTTGCAATAAACGCTGTGCAAATACCGTGTGACATAAAAAATTGCAACACCCACAATTTTGTTCTCTAGGGCCTTTGCTTAAAAATGTATAATATTTTGCGTTTCTACGCAATTTTCTAGCAAAAAATCCTGATTTTTAAATGTAAACAAAAAGTGTCAGAATTGTCCTGGTCTTAAGTATATATCTAAAGTGAAAATATTTTTTCTTTTTTTGGTTTTGGATAGAGTGTTTTTTAGCAATGCAATGTTGTGGTGTGTGTTGTGCGCTACCATGCAATGCATTGGGATGTCATTCACAATGAATGACACCACAACGTGCCACACATAGCACAGGTATGAATGGGCCCTTAGTGGCCATTTTCTACTGCACACTAGTGAGGACCCTTTTATTTACAGATCACTCATTGCAATCTTTAAAATCAGAAAAATGGCCTTGGCCGGAATGAAATGTAATGAAAATGATGAAATGAAAATTATGAAAATGCAAAAAAATAATTTACAGGAAAAAATAGAATTTATGAGTAAAAAAATAAACATGGTTCACAAAATATGACCAATGTGAGGTATTCCATAGTGCAATGTTATAGGTCCTCTAGTGTCTTGAATCGTCCTGTATGCTGGTATGGCTGTGGCTGAATATGTAAAAGTATAGAAGTTACCTGCTCCATTGTCCAGAAGTTCAAGTGTAGTCAGGTTGCCTTTTTCTGAAGTGATGATGGCAGTGACCTTTGCCCCCTTCACTGGCAGTAGACCTTGGCTGACTGATGCATACACAATCATTGTAGTGGGGTAATAATTTGTGTCCTCGTTCATGTGAACATCTACAGAGATTGGCGGCACATTTGCATTGGCAGCTTTGGATGTCACTACCAGACCTAAGGTCTGGCTGGATTTATAGTTATTGCATAGGGTATAGGACCAGACTCCAGTCTACAAACAGATAATGGGGATTTGTTAAAGAACCAATGTACTTAGCCAAAAACAAATTATATATATATATATATATATATACACACACACACACACACACAGTTATGTTCAAAATAATAGCAGTGTGTTGAAAAAAGTGAATACAGCTCAAAATCCTTCTAATAGCTTTTATTTCCATACATACAAATGCATTGGGAACACTACACATTCTATTCCAAATCAAAACATGAAGAAAAATATATCAAATTTGTGTTGTTCCTCTAAAAAAAATTGAAGAAAAGTGAATTTTAGACTTCAAAAAAATTGCAGTGTTTGTATTCTTCTTTACAAACTCAAACATTCACTATATAAACTGAAAAATGTTTGAAGATTTTGCTTTCCTTTGAATCACTTAATGAATATTTGGTTGTATAAGCACTGTTTCTGAGAACTGCTGTACATCTGTGTTGCATGGAGTCAACCAACTTCTGGCACCTGTGAACAGGTATTCCAGCCCAGGATGATTGGACTACATTCCACAGTTTTCTTCCCTATTTCTTGGTTTTTGCCTCAAACTGCATTTTTGATATCACCCCACAAGTTTTCTATTGGATTAAGATCCAGGGATTGGGCCGGCCACTCCATAACGTCAATCTTGTTGGTCTGGAACCAAGATGTTACACGTTTACTGGTGTGTTTGGGGTCGTTGTCTTGTTGGAACACCCATTTCAAGGGCATTTCCTCTTCAGCATAAGGCAGCATGACCTCTTCAAGTATTCTGATGTATTCAAACTGATCCATGATCCCTGGTATGCGATAAATAGGCCCAACACCGTAGTATGAGAAACATCCCCATATCATGATGCTTGCACCACCATGCTTCACTGTCTTCATAGTGTACTGTGGCTTGAATTCAGTGTTTGGGGGTCGTCTGACAAACTGTCTCCGGCCACTAGACCCAAAAAGAACAATCTTACTTTCATCAGTCCACAAAATGTTGCGCCATTTCTCTTTATGCCAGTCAATGTGCTCTTTGGCAAATTGTAACCTCTTCAGCACGTCTTTTTTTCAACAGTGGGACTTTGCGTCGGGGGCTTCTTGCAGATAGCTTGGCTTCACATAGGTGTCTTCTAATTGTAACAGTACTCACAGGGAACTTTAGACCTTCTTTTATCTTCCTGGAGCTGATGGTTGGCTGAGTCCGCGCCATTTTTGGTTGCCATTTTTAAAGCATTTGCAATCATTTTAGCTGAGCAGCCTATCATTTTCTGCACTTCTTTATATGTTTTTCCCCTCTCCAATCAACTTTTTAATCAAGGTACGCTGTTCTTCTGAACAATGTCTGGAACGACCCATTTTCCTCAGAATTTGAGAGAGAAATGCACTGTAACCAGCATGTACAACATTTGCTGCCTTCTTCCTTAAATAAGGGCAATAATTGCCACCTGTTTTTCAAAGAATGAATGACCTCACTAATAGAACTCCACACTGCTATTATTTTGAACATGCCTCTTTCAATTAGTGATTCAATTACACAGAATCAGCAGCATGCATGTCATGACTGTTGGGTCTGTTGGATTTCTATTACTCTACTACACCTGCTAGTAAATTATTTGCCATGTAGAAATATCATTTCTACCAAAAACAGTGATTGATCAGGTTAGTGATGTCTGACTGCTATTATTTTGAACACAACTGTATATGTGTATATATATATATATATATATATATATATATATGTGTGTGTGTGTGCGTGCTTATGAGTGCAGCTATGTACAGGTATCATGACCTGTAGTACAATAATGCAATATACTGTACATTGTAATACATTATACTAGTTAAAAAGTTACAATGTCTCTCAGCCTATAGTAAAATGATTTTGAATCCTATGGGATGTGCTGATAATTAAAGAGGTTAAGCTGATCTCCAGACAAACTGCTAAATACACAGTTAAATGCATATTTGGTAGCTGTCTTGTCTGGCAAAGGATTTGTAATTGCGTTTACATAGCTGTGCCATATAGCACAGGCAGCCCGGTTACTTGGTTTTGCTCTGCAAAATAATAAGGAGGGTATTTGGCGTACTCAGGGGAGGCTGGTGGGGGCTGTGTCAGAACAATTATGTAAACATGATACAAGAGATAAAAAATGATATAAAAAAACAACCATAAAGTCCAAAGGACAGTCCTTAAAAATCAAAGGGTGCTTTGCTTGGTGGTTGCCGGCTCATGAAGAGCTAGAAGGAACTCTGGAAAAGATACAGGAGGAGAGAGCAGCAGCGCCATATAAGTGAAGCACTAAGTAAACCATTTATTGTAGATAAAAGAAATATTGCAGCACTTTGAATAAACAGGATCACCTGCTGTACACTTTATTACTGATCCCTGAGTACAGCAGATAATCCTGTTTATTCAGAGTGCTGCATTATTTTTTTCTTGTGAGTTGCTCCACTTTTATCTCCAATAAATGGTTTATTTATTGCTTCACTTAGATGGTGCTGCTCCTCTCCTTGTTGATTTTGCTCTGCTGCAAATAGGTAATAGAGCTAGGTCTCTTCCCTACCCCAGATGGTGATTGGACAGTGAAGGAGCAGGAACAGAATGATGATGAGGTCAATGTTCTCTCCTGTTGCCATGCTGCATGTTAGCACATGTGAATGCAGAAAACCTGACATGCCCCCAAGGTTCCCCCTCCCTCTGGCAGTCTCTTACACAGAGAAATAAGAGACTGAAATAAGGTCCAGTTCAGGGATTCTTTTAAGTTGAATTTAAAATGCATTTCTTTCAAGTATAAATACAAAACTGCATTCATTTGTGTGTGTTTTTTTTATATATTGAGAAATTCAGCTTTAAAGTGGCAAAAAAAGCATAGCAACTCTTTAGCAAAGTGTTTATAGAGATGAAGCAATGCCATTTCAATTTATTTGACCTGAACATCTTTATGCCACAAGATATTAGTGGAAAAATAAATGGATTCCCCATCTTCATGCAAACCAGTGATACAATTTGCAAGAACTTGGCAATGAACACATAGGGGTTTATTTACTAAAGCTGGAGAGTCCAAAATCAGACTCCCTTCTGCATAGAAACCAATCAGCTTCCAGGTTTCATTGCCAAAGCTTCATTGAACAAGCTGAAGTTAGAAGCTGATTGGTTTCTATGCAGAAGGGAGTCTGATTTTGGACTCTCCAGCTTTAGTAAATAAACCCCATATTGTCCCAGAACATACTCTACCCCTTATGAAAAATGTGCTAATAAGTAATTTCTTAACGACATAATAAGTAAAAAAAACTCAGAAAGAGTATAATACCCTGGCGGAATCCGGGATCTTCAGCCTGCTTAGGTGGGAAGTGTCACGGATAGTGAACTTGTCTGTAGAATACAAAGTTCCAGCCGGATCTGTTAGCTGGACATCCGGAGCAGCAGACTGCCAAGTAACAGTGAAGAAAGTCTCCCAACCCATTGTACTGTCTATGAGGACAGTGCCAGCAGAGCAGTCGCTTGGATTCACATTTGGACTGTTGCTTTCTAGCTATAACATGAAAAAATAATACATTTAAAGGGGGTTATTCTTCATGTCAGAGGAACACATTCACATCAACTTTACGACCAGAGCAATTAGTGCTTTTCAGTGCTGCAACAGTTTAACTAGCAGTATTTTTATTATGTACAATATTTATATGCATTTTATACTTTTTTATATATTCAATTGGGCTTTCTCTCGATAGACATATAAAACCGTGTCGCTTTAAATGCCTACATTTCAAGTGGTTGTAAACCAGCCATGAAATATGAACAAAGCATATCCCTCTACAGTGTGCACTTTTCTCAATTTGGAGCACTAAGTGTTATTTCTTTCTTCTATTTCATTCCTCTGCTATCAGCATGAGTCACTTCTGACAAGTTTTCATGACACCAAGAGAAAAATGGTGACAGGGGAGGGACCTCCAGCTGATTGAGAGCCTCAGCTCTGTTTCTGTGTGCTGTGTGGAGGGGTGTGTGTCTCCCTCTGATCAGCTCTGAGATCTCTCTGTACTGAGCCTTGAAGAGTTTACCTTCAGCTCTCTGCCCCCTTTTTACTGAACTCTCAGACAAGCTTTAAAATTCAGCACTTTGAAGGGATGTAGAGAAGAGGGAGCCGCAGATAAACAGGTACAACTTATGTAGGAGGATTTGTTTCATCTCTGTGTATCATCTGAAGCCAGTCACTTCACTGGGTATATGTAAGGGTTGACAACCATATAAGCAAAATAAACAAATTTGAAAAAAGTACAGTATTTTGCTCATGCCAACTAACTGATCTGAAATTCTTCTTCTATTTTGCAATATGTAACGAATCAGTCTTGTTTTAAAAGTCCAACTCAAGACAAGCATATTTTTGAATAATACAATCTACAGTAAGTGAATTTTGAATTATTATTTTTTAAAACTATTTTGAACTAGAATTTTTTTTTTTTTTTGCAGTGCAGTGAGGAACCAGGCACCTAACATTCTGAATGGCGTCAGATGTAAAGAGGCTTTAGAGCTTGAAGACAGCAACATTTTGAGTCTTCTATTGTGAGAGCTGTGACAGACCCAAGCAGAACAGGGGCTTTTGGAGGGGACCCCTCCTGAAGACTGGGTTGGAAAAGCTCCTCCACTTGGGACAGAAAAAAAAATGAAGAGAACCCTGAGATGTGATTTAACCAGAGCAATGACAGCTCCGAAGAAGGTATGTATACAAATAGATGGCAGAAACAATGCAGGGGTAGGGGGTGTGTTCCAGGGGTCTTCCCAACATAGAGTTGGGCTTTAAGCCTCACATTTAACAATCGGGACAGGTTTATCTAAGCTGCTGTCTCCATATAGTTCTGTGTTGTAGGAATATTGTAATATATATATATATATATATATATATATATATATATATATATATATGGGCAGCACAGTGGCTAAATGGTTAGCACTTCTACCTGGCAGTACTAGGGTTGTTGGTTCGAATCCCAATCATGGCACCGCCTGCCTGGAGTTTGCATGTTCTCCCTGTGCCTGCGTGGGTTTCCTTTGGGTACTCAGTTTCCTCCCACACTCCAAAGACATGCTTGTAGGCTCATTGGCTCCTGTCTAAATTGTCCCTAGTATGTGTATGTATGAATGTGAGTTAGGGACCTTAGACTGTACACCCCTTGAGGGTTAGGGACTGATGTGAATGTACAATATATATGTAAAACCCTGCGTAAATTGACGGCACTATATAAGTACCTGAAATAAATAAATGTATATACTGTATGTGGTGTATTCTCCTGTTATTGACCAAGCCAGAATATGACTGAGCTAGATGTATTTTACACAGCCAAGAACTCTTTGTTATGTTCATTTTATGCAAGATAACCTGGACACTCAGGGGCCCGACTTGTTACAATCAAAGGAGGTTATTTGCAAATTTGCAAGGGTGATAACATGCAGATAGCTCAGTCAGACTTGAAAGGAGTTGGTCAACATCTACTAAAAGAGGTATTAAGTATGGTAACTAGCATTCATCAAAGGGTAACTTGTTTATCTAATTAACCACTTCCAGTTCGGACACTTTTACCCCTTCCTGTCCAGGGCAATTTTCAGCTTTCAGCGCTATCACACTTTGAATGACAATTACGCGGTCATGCAACACTGTACCCATATGAATTTTTTAGCAATTTTTTTAGACAGATAAAGCTTTATTTTGGTGGTATTTATTCACCACTGGGATTTTTATTTTTTTTGCTATGTAAATTTAAAATGTCCAAAAATTTAGAAAAAAAGTGTTTTTCTTATAAAATTTTGCAAATAAATAGTATTTCATCATAAATCTTGGCCAACATTTATTCCGTTATATATTTAGTAAAACAAAAATAACCCAAATTAGTTTGTAACCAAAAATTATAATTTTTAAACATTTTTATTTTTTTTTTATATTATTTTTTTTTTATTATTATTTTTTTTTTACATACTGTCACCCTAGCAGTACAGTGTCACCATGGTGACAATGTACTACTTGTGGGGGGTGATGAAGATTTTTTTTTTACACTGATTGCTTTTACACCCATAAAGGATGTAAAAGCAATCATTTCTCCTTCTCTATAGCTGCATTCTTGCAGCCATTGAGAACTACTGAGTGAGCTGTGATTGGTCACAGCTTGTCACATGGTACAAGGCTGTTGTGACTAGCCTTGTACCATGTGACCTCTGTGATCATTCACAGATTTCACACGTAGTAAGCAATGATGTCACAAGTGACATCTTGCTTACTACTCTGCATGTGATCACTGATTGGCCAATCAGTGATCACATGATCGGGACCTCGTACAGAGGTCCCGTCCGACGATCGGTGTTCCACTGTGTCCGGAGAACACAGCGGGCACCGGATCGCGGTGCTGCACGCTCCCAGGGAGCGCGCAAAAGCAGGGTGCAGGGAGGCCATTTATAAATGGCCACCCGACCCTGCGCTTCCACCGTCCGACCATTTATATACAATGGCCGGATGGGAGGTGGTTAATAGTAAAAGAATTTAGTTTAGGAAATATCTGGACAACTTTAGATTAGAATTATGACTGCAGCTGTCCAAGCACAAAAGGCATTACCTGTCACCCAGAAGATCACAGGGGCTACTAAAAGTGGCCAATCAGAGTGCTTGCCATTGTACTGAATGGGAAAAATGTGTATATTAAGGAAGCATCTTTTTGGTTAGGTTGACACAGGAGAAAGGGGTTTTCTGAAGGTTTCTAACGACTGCACGAATATTCTAAGTATCCTGTCATCTGCTTTGTCTGTACCTCTACTTTATGAATTGTTTCTGGGCCGAATAAATGCATCTCTCTGGTAAAGAACTGTTGGACTAATTGCTGCGGGAAAAGTACATTTATAAATACACACTGGTCATACGTCCTCCATCATTGATACAAAACAACAGATTTGTCTTATGAACTGTTTTATGAACTGTCTGTGTGGACCTCATAATTTAGAAGACAACAAGTGTCAGCCTCAGAACCCAGCCTATAGGTTACTGCAGACCTACAAAAAGCTGGTGTTTCAGCATGTCGGCTAAAACAAATGCACTTTATTAACAATAGTGAAAAACAGCCTGTCAAGGTCCTACCTTTCCTCAGGGCTTGTGCTGCTCCATGTGCTGGCATCCATCTTAGGTGTCTGCAAAGCATTGTGGGGTCCTTTATGCTTTCAGCCTCTGCAGCTCCTCCCCCAGGAAGTGGCGGCTTATCACATATAAGTCTGCTGTTTGTAGCTGTCCATTGCATTTGTGTCCTGTCTGTTGCACAGCAGCAAGCTCCTGTTTAGTTCTCATTGCTCTCCTGGATACCGACTCGGCTTTGGCAAGACTCCTTCCTGGCTTCTGACCCCCGGCTCTAGCAACCATCCTTCCTGGCTTCTGATCCCGGCTCTGGCGACCATCCTTCCTGGCTTCTGACCCCGGCTCTAGCAACCATCCTTCCTGGCTTCTGACCCCGGCTCTGGCGATCATCCTTCCTGGCTTCTGATCCCGGCTCTGGCGACCATCCTTCCTGGCTTCTGATCCTGGCTCTGGCGACCATCCTTCCTGGCTTCTGACCCCGGCTCTGGCGACCATCCTTCCTGGCTTCTGATCTCGGCTCTGGCGACCATCCTTCCTGGCTTCTGATCCCGGCTCTGGCGACCATCCTTCCTGGCTTCTGATCCCGGCTCTGGCGACCATCCTTCCTGGCTTCTGATCCCGGATCTGGCGACCATCCATTCCTGGCTTCTGATCCCGGCTCTGGCGACCATCCTTCCTGGCTTCTGATCCCGGCTCTGGCGACCATCCTTCCTGGCTTCTGACCCCGGCTCTGGTGACTATCCTTCCTGGCTTCTGTCCTTCCAAGTCATCCGCTGTTGCTGTTGGACTTGCATAGACTCTGTCTTGTTTTTGTACAATAAACCTACCTTTAATTGCACCTCCTTGTGTGTCTGGCTCCTCGCTCCCTGACACAGCCTTAAAAATCCAATGCATTTCGGCAGTCAAGCCTGGTGGCGGAAACATGTTGGATATTTAAAGCGGTTTTCCACCAATATTAATAACGTGCATGTGTTTTAGGCAACATTTTGAAGCACCAGCTTTATTTCTCTTACATTTAACAATGATCTGGAAAATCATACCCAACTGTAGATGTACATTTTAGATGTGTCCTTTGCCTTTTAATCGTGTTTTGTACATGTACTATAGATTGCACACTGGTAAACTGTAGTTAAAAATTTACATTACCTGACTAACCCTCTGAGTGAAATCCACATTTTCATTTGAGATTCCAATAAAGGCATGAATGAGATCATTGGACTGAA